ACCCATTGCTATGCCAAGAAGTATTGATTCCATCTAGTTAAACATGTCGAGTGAGAGGAATTGATCAATGGATTACTTCTTCAAAACATTTATCCCCTTAGTGGGATCCTCTGATTTTTATAACCTTAAAGAGACAGGCACAGGAGTTAGGAGAATTTAAAATTTGAAATGTCTTCTTTTTCCATCTCTGTTAATGACAACTCTAGTTAACACGTGATTTTCTGGGTCTCCTTCTCTACTTCCCTCCATTATCACCACCTTTCATTGCTACTGCTGCCGTGGGTGCCCTGAGGAACATGAGATAGCCTTCCTCAGATAACTGGGTTTTAAATTCAGTTCATAGCTCTTAAGTGAAGGGAGTAGGGCCAAAAAATGACTCACTGCCCAGTGGTGCCTGGAAACATTATCAGCAAAGGCATTCACCTAAGGAGAAAATAAACACAGAATTCTCATATGGCCCATCTTTCCAACCATCTCCTGGACTCTGGTAGCCTCTTCTGAGCCAGAGATCTCTCTAAAGTCACTCGCTGTCAGACCTTTTTGTCTGACATTTAGGAACGGCTGAAGTCCTTTATAAATCCCAGATGGAACAGGAGGAAAACTACTTTGAATTGGTCATTTCCATGATCTCTAAAATTCAGCAAACAGTATTTCTTAAGATTAATGGATGTGAGCCCATGACAGGTTCAATGTGGGACCAACTCAAGGGAAAATGATGACCTAAGTATCAAAAGGCATTCATTACAACACAGTTTCACCTGAAGAGGGAGTCTTCCCCAGTAGTGTTTCTGCAGCAGAATTGCTTAGAAACTGCAGAGCATCCACAAGGCAAGTATCCCAGGCCATTGTTCTGGACTGTCTTTCAAACAGAAGACTGGCTAGTTGCCATTTGCTGAGGGCATCTGCTGCACTGGGAACTGCGCATGTATATGGATGGTATCGCTGACACTCACAAGTATGCAAGATAGAAACTAGATGCAATTTTTTCAGATTAGGAACCTGAGAATGGAAGATAGACTGGGAAGGGGAGCAGGAAGGATAGAGAGAGATTGGGTAATGGGTATGAAGTTACAGTTAAATAAGAGGAATAAATCCTGGTGCTCTGTTGCATAGTAGGGTGCTTATGGTTGAAAACATTGCATTGTCCATTTCAAAATAGCTAGAAGAGAGGCTTTTGAATGTTCTCACCACAAGGATATGATAATGTATGAGGTAATGAATATGCCAAATACCCTGGTTTGATTATTACACATGGTATGCCTGTATCAAAGCATCACATTGTACCCCATAAATATGTACAACTATTATGTGTCAATTAAAAATAAAATAAAAATAGGCTGGGCACGGTGGCTCATGCCTGTCATCACAGGACTCTGGAAGGCCGAGGCAGGTGGGTCACGAGGTCAGAAGATCAAAATCATCCTGGCCAACATGGTGAAACCCCATCTCTACTAAAAATACAAAAATTAGCTGATTGTGATGGCGTATGCCTGTAATCCCAGCTACTCAGGAGGCTGAGGCAGGAGAATCGCTTGAACCCAGGCAGCGGAGGTTACAGTGAGCAGAGATTGCACCACTGAACTCCAGCCTGGCAATAGAGCAAGACTCCATCTTAAAAAAAGCAATAATAATAAAATAAAAATAAAAAATTTTCTTGATAAAAGAATGAAAGATAACTTGCTTTTGGCCACACAATTTGATAGGTGTCATTTAAAAAACATTATAGTATAAGGCTAGGCATATTGGCACATGCGCCTGTACTCTCAGCTATTTAGGAGGCTGAGGCAGGAGGACCGCTTGAGCCCAGGAGTTCGAGATCAGCCCAGGAGATCGAGAGGCAACATAGTGAGACTCTCATCTTAAAAAAATGTATATAGTATAGATGATATAAAAGGGCCATCTTGCCAAATGAGTCAAATTATCCCTTAATTTAATACATTCCTAGGTAGTAAGGGTCTTTAGAGAGCTAAATTAATTCCTTGCTATGTCATAGGATACCATTTATAAGTGTTCTCTTGGGGGTTAGCTTCATTTTATGTACTAAACACTTCTTTGAAAGGATCTTTGCCTTTTTCCATGTGCTAATTTATATAGAGTATTTATGTATTATGGGAATTTAATTTATTCCTGCATTTTATCCAGGAAACTAGAGCCAGATGTTTTTGGACATTTGTTATTTGCTTTAAATAAGATACCGGGTTAAGATAAGAGAAATAAATTGATTAGATATTGCACCTTCCTCTGGAGAATGTAAAACTTTTCATGTTCTACATATCATCATACCTTACAACTTTAGAACAGACTCTAATACAAGAAAAATGTTTTAACTGTCCCTTTACTTACAGATGGCAGGAATGGAAAGGTGCACTCGATTATACTAACAGAACTCTCAACTAATGGAAATTCAAATTGAAGACTCCTGTTGTGGATCAGGGACCATGGGTAAACATGCTTTCTAGGAGAGTTCACCACCGGGTTCCAGGAGAGGTCACAGTACTCCTGCACTCCTGACTGCAGACCCTTGGATTCCATTTCAGGCAGTGACACACCAAGAATAAGAGGAGCTGGCTGCAGCCCTGCCCACGTGTGTCTGCTGGCTCACCCTCCCGTCTGGCATCTCCACGCCCTTCCTCTTCCGGACTCCCTTGCATGAGCTTCCAAGCAGAATGAGCTGTCCTTCCAAATATGACCCTAACTCATTCAACAGCTGGAGCAAGAGCAAACTAGAGCTCACGCGAAGGTATTAGCATTGAGTCTTTTTTCCCTCTTTCTCTCTGACTAAAAGGTATTTGGAAAATTCATCTAAAAACCTTTTGTAAAAATTTCATTCATAAAAATAGCCAAAGGGTTTCTCAAAGAGTTTCCTTTTACAAAGTCTTTTGTAGGGAATGAATGTCTACTTTATTATTTTTCCTTCCTGTCCCTAACCTTGGAGAGGATTAGAGGGTCTGGGCAAGGAGAGGAGCCTCACACCGAGCCACCCACACTTTTCCTTGCTCTGTACAGGTTCTCTGGAAGAACATAGAGCCACCTTACATGTGAGGGAATGAGACCATGCTTTGAAGAGCTGGACTTTTTCCTTTTACTTACCCTTGAAATTGTTTCACTCTGATCTCCAGGTCAAAGAAGTGACCTACTACACATTTAGTCAAAATCTGTTTGTGCAAATAAGTACAGTCCCTGCCTTCTTTATACAGTTTTCTTATCACTAGGGGACTGGATTTAGTTCAACAACTGAGTCAGCATGAGCTCACACAAAACAAATCCTTTCACATCAATGTCATTTTCTTCCCTAGCCTTTTTTATTTAAATAATTAGGTCAGGGAAATCCCATGTGCTTAGTATCATGTCAGCAAGGTATATGACAAACTCTGGTCACAATAGAAAGTCGTTTAGTGAATTAATGTCAAATTTGGAAAAGTAGCTAATATGTCTTGGGAGCTTGGTCCTTGCCTGTACACCTGCCTGAAGATCACAAGACTAAGAAGGAAACGTAACATACACTGAATGACAGACTCAGAGCTCAGCAATATCTCAGAAGCCTGTCATATGAGCCAAACCCAATACAAAACAATCTAGCAATATTAAGTAATCATCACATTTTGTACTTGAATAAAGAAATTTAATATCATCACTTTGGGGTAGGAAAAGCCAAGTTTAATGTTGGTTAAAAAACAGTTTGAAAATTGTATTTGTCTGTCTTCAATATGATGTTTCTTCCAAAATATCTCAAGTAACCTGAATTAATAGTAGAAATAATATCTACCATTTACTGAGTACCTAGGATCTGCTAAAATAACAAACTTACAATGAAGGTATAACTATTCCCATTTTACAGATGAAAAAATTGGAGGCGGTTAAGTAACCAGCACTAAGTCAAAGTGGCTAGCAAAGATAAAAACCAACTTGTTAGCCAATGTTAGGCAGCTCAAGTCCTTTCTTCTGTGCCTGAAATGAAAGACCTTTTCCAAGAATTTTGCATTGGTTATTCATATCACGTATGGAAAATGTTATTCATCTCAATGAACCAAAATTAAGTCAAGACACAAAGGAATGTCTATAGGAAAATGACTAGGATAGGAAAGAGTCTGTAAGCCATGCAAGAAAAGACACAGTCGAAGAGATGGTAAATATTTAACATGAAAAATAGAAGATTCGGTGTGGGGTACAGGAGATACCTTCAAATACTGAAGATCTGTGGTCAACTGGGGCAAATATCTTAATCAAATAAATTCTCCAACAATAAGAGTTTCATTTCAAATAAGGGAAGAGAAAGTTTCCCAAATGAGCATTTTCAGTCACTAGAAGCAGAATTGGAGAGACACCTGCCAGGATTGTTATTGAATGAAATTCTGACTTTGAAAACATTTGACCTTTGTGATAAAATGAAATCACTTCCAATTCTACAATTCTGTTTTGTAAAACTAGTTTTACCCTTCACAGAGGTGCACCCAAGAGAACTGTGTGATTGATTTAATGTTAGGGGTGAATGAGCATAAGCAATTGAAGAAAACTTCAAAGTTTTGGGCCTTGTAACTAATATATTGATACAATTAAAAAAAAAAAACCTTTAATAAAAGAGAACCACATTAAGTGGAAGATAATTAAGTAGAAATAAATATGCAAACGGAAGCCTAAGATTTCAGTACTGAGTGTACTGATTGCATAATTCAAATATTCTTTTACATCATGGCAGAAAAATGCTAAAATCTAGGGATATATGCTGACTGGTAACTGAGTTTTATACAAATAATTTTTAAATTTATTAAATTAAATTTAAAAGCCTCTTGTAATTTAGAACTATAAAATGTTATAATATTAACTACTTACTTCAATCTCCTAAGTTTACAATTGAAAAAACCATGTCTCAGAAAATCTAAGGGACATATTCTCTACTCTGGGACCTGGTTCCCAATTCACATCTCTGTCTGCAAATTAAAAAAAAAAATTCTGAAACATTCAAATCTGGAATAAAGACACCACCTGTATTTTTTAGGAAGAAAATAAAATTTAAAAAAAAAACTAGTCTTAACTACATATAATACACAAAGGTCCACTTTGTTATGGTATAAGGCAACACTGCCCCTTAGGAGTTTTAAAGTATGAATTCCACACTTCACCACGCTCTGGGATGTTTTCACAGTATTTTTAACATTGGTCCTCATAGTCTTAATTTACCTCTGGAAATTTCCATGGATGCTTAAACAATAAAGAACAAAGAAGCACATGGCTGTGTTATTTAGAGTTGGTGAATTAGGTTCCACAAGTCTTTTGATTTCCTTTTAGGTGGTGTCTTGTCAGTTTCTAAGATCAGAGGGAGGCCAGCTCCAGGAGTGCTCATGCCTGCATCAATGGTCTTCCATACTATCTGATGAAAAGATTCATTCTGTGTCTCAAAAGGATATTCCAGATCCAGCTCTGAGTCAGCAGGTCTTTGGTATATAAGTTTTCCACTGCTTCATTTTTTTAAATCCATCTGACAAGGTCAAGGTGGGATTGAGACAAGAAAAATTTGGAACTAGTCCCATTTGAGACTTAGTTCCTTTAAAAAACCTGTTTTTAATAATCTGAAAGTTTACATAATTTTGACATGCAAGTTATATACATGTGTGTGTATGTGTGCATGCTTGTATGTATGTTCATTTTTTTAAAGAGATTCAAACTAAATAAAATTTTGATTGAGTGCATTGCTTAAATGACTAGAGCATCAGCTGTTATAACTTCAACTTTAAACACTGAACTGAAACATGGGCTTCATGTTCCAATTCATACTGAAGCTTTATAATATGTGGCCTTAGAGTAGAAGTATAATGGTCTCTTGGGAGAGGCAGGATCCAATTAAAATTCAGTTTGCTGTCTTTTGGAAAGACATAAGCAGTTATATATCCTCTGAGAGGGCCTTAAGAAATACACACCTGAGCTTTAAATGGCTACTCATTTGACTGTGAAGTTGAATTTTAATTCATCAGGGAGTCAGAGCACAAGAAAGAATTCAAATAACAACACTCTGATATTTCCTGGTGTGTTACCAGGGAGAAAAGAGCTCCTGGAAAATGAATGCCTTACACATTTGCAGATATTACCAACCACTTATAAAAACAAGGCTATTGTTATGCATAAAAGTCACTCCTTTTAGGAGAAGCCTGAGAGTGAATTGAAATGTGGCTGACATTTCTACCACAAGATAAAATGTTTTTTTTAAATATCATGTTTAAGTTCTCTTAGTTAAAAAAAGAAAAGGGAAAAAAGAAGAAAAAAGAAAGAAAAATATCTATAATCCAATATTCAGAGCAATTCCAGACACTTCACCCATGAAATAACTCACTGGAAGACATTACGTTTCTAAACACAAAAGCAATTAGCAGCCTTTTTAAATTCTCTTTTAGTTCAGTAAGGAAATTATTCACCATATTTTGAAATCCCACATGTTGTTTTTAAAAGACAAAATATATAGTACATTGAACAGAAAACATAAGAATGCTTTCTATCTCATTTGTTAGTTCATGCCTAAGATGAAATACCCCAACACATATAGGAACCTCCCCACCCCCACTTTACTCGGAGATTCTTTTGCTTACTTCTTTTTACAACAAGGGTTTTGATGTATTTTTAAAAATATAAATAGAAAAAGCCACTATATTGCCTCAGAGCTACTCCACCTCACTGCCTCACTTTAAATTCTGATTGACTGTAATGAGATCACAGACAGATTGATGAAATAAGATCGATGGGTTTATTACACATCCATATTCAGGTACTAAACAGCATTGGACTTGGGGTAATTTAGTTATGTAGCTCATTTATTTCTTCAACAAATTTGTTGAACAGCAGTATTAGTTAAGGCAATGCAAGCTGATGTCGTAAATAAACCCCCAAATCACAATGGCCTAAAACATTAAAGGTGTAATTTTCGTTCATGGAAGCAGTGCAATATGAGCAACTACAGGATTCAGGCAGCCAGAATCCATTCATTCTGTGTTTCCATTATCTTCTAGAGCTTCGAAGCCTTCTGCATTTATCCCAGATAATGCAAAGAAATTAGAGAAGGTGCATCTGTTTTTAACCATTGTCTTCTCACTTGCTCTTGGAATTAACAATCACACAACCATACCTAAGAGCAAAGTGATCGTGAAGCATATTTCCTGTTGGGGCAACACCTTCCGGTGATAACGTCACGCTCTGAAGGGGGTCAGCTGTAACACCTGTAATAATAATGTACTGGACATTGTGGAATTTTCAAAAAGAAACAAAACTGGAAGCTTGTCTTCCAGAAGCATGCATTTTAGCAAATTTTTGCAAGAATCTTATTACCTCACCAATAGTAATAGTTAATATATATTAGAAGTTTGTTGTGTATTGGGCTCATTATTGTTCCAGAGGGTATGTGGGTGGTATTTCAGGACTCAAACTCTGGTCTGTGGGCTGTCCAAATTTATGCTCTTGCCTTCTGCCCTCTGTAGACTTCTAATCACTTAAGGCAAGAGACTCAAGTCTGGCTCTCCTAGAAGTTCCTACTGCATGGCAAAGCCCACACCAGACAATGAAGGAATGTGGATTATACTAAACAGAACCCTAACACCTACTACACAGGTAACTATTGGCAATAAATTAGAGTTTGATTCCAACTCATAAAAAGCTGTACTCCAAAATGCAATTCACCATAAATGAGAGCCTTTTTAAAATAGGAGTTGCCTGTGCTAAAAATATTGATTTGTTTTTTAAATCTGAGTCACTGGTCATTAGAGAAATGGAAATCAAAATCAAAATTAGATACCATCTCATGCCAGTTAGAATGACGGTCTTTAAAAAATCAGGAAACAAGGGATGCTGGAGAGAATATGGAGAAATAGGAGTGCTTTTATACTGTTGGTGGGAGTGTAAATTAATTAAACCATTATAGAAGACAGTGTGGTGATTCCTCAAGGATCTAGAACTAGAAATACCATTTGATCCAGCAATTCCTTTATTGTGCATATACCCAAAGGATTATAAATCATTATATTATAAAGACACATGCACATGTTTATTGCGGCACTGTTCACAAGAGCAAAGATTTGGAAACAACCCAAATGCCCATCAATGATAGACTGGATAAAGAAAATGTGGCACATATACATCATGGAATACTATGCAGCCATAAAAAGGATTAGTTCATGTTCTTTGCAGAGACATAGATGAAGCTGGAAACCATCATTCTCACCAAACTAACACAAGAACAGAAAATCAAATACCACATTTTCTCACTCATAAGCAGGAGTTGAAAAAAATCTGAGTCAATTGAAATGAAAATGCTAATTTGAGTAAATGAGCAAATGAGTATTAGTGAGAAAACTCACATAAAAGTACAAGAGAGAGCAAGATGCCCAATAGATTAATACAACACTTTAACCAGAATGTTCCGTTATACAGTATTCTTTCTGCACATACACCCTCTAACTAGCAAAGCTGTCTTGCTTCACATGATCTTTTCCTATTTTGATGAGGTTTTTTTCTGAAAGAAATGAAGGGAGAATTCCTCCAGTTCTTGTTTTCTGTGAAAATTCTCCTAAGTTTTAGGGACAGAGTTTTAAAAGAAGGAATTCTAGGCACTTCTTGACTTGGAGCAGAATAGAGATGTACTCCAGTAAGGAACATAGTTCATGGACCTAAGTGACTTGAATATGAGGTAGAATTGGGGGTGAATAACCCCAAATGTATAGATGATATTCTATCAGACAGGAGATATTACCTATAGCTTTGCAAAAGAAACAAACTTTTAGCTAGGCCTTTTGGATGCATGTAAAATTAATTAAGCTTACCAAGTATAGAAAAAACAGGAAATTGTCATTTAGAAGGACATGATCTATTCAGGTAGTCAACCAACATATACATTGAGTGCTTTGATGCAAGGTAGGGTATGAAGAGCGGTGGAGAGAAGGGGGTAGTAAAACGGTGCAAGACGATCCCTATTCCCATATAGGTCAGGAGCTAAGAGCAACCACAAAAGAGAGCAATGGGCACATATGGTGCACCCACCTGTATCAGCTAACATGCTAGGTGAATTATTCAAATGATCTCATTTGGCACTAATACATGTAAAGTACACAGCAAGGTGCCTGCCACAGAAAGAGTGTACAACAAGTCGTAGCTGTGATTTAAATGCCAGTTTCATGCGGAGGTTATTATCTGTTTTCAAATTAAAGAAAGTGAGGCATGGTGAGGCTATGCGATGCTACAAGCTCAATGTTTCTGTCCCCACAAAATGTGTATGTTGGAATCTAATCACCAAGGTGATCGTGATTAGTTTCCAATTGCCACTGCCTTTGGGAGGTGATTAGGTCATGAAAACTCCACCTTCATAAATGTTCTTATATAATAAGAATAGTATCCTTATAAAAGAGGACTGGGGAAGCTTATTTGTCCCTTCTGCCATGTGAAGATGTAGCAACAAAGTACCATCTTTGAAGCAGAAAGTGAGCTCTCATCAGACACTGAATCTGTCAATACTTGATCGTGGACTTCCCAGCCTCCAGGACTGTAAGCAATAAATTTCTGTTGTTTATAAGTTATCCCATCTAAGGTATTTTCTTACAGCAGCCTAAGTGGACTAAGATAGAGGATATATCCAAAGCCCCTTAGCTGGAGAAAGCAGACTACATGCATGGAAAGTTCAATAACAATGACATTCTTTGTGAAAGCCGCTCTCCCGGCAGTTCTATTTTACTATTAGAATATTCATCTTGGTGTCTGGGTTGTTATTCCGTAATCTGGCTGCTGAATCCCCTTTGGGTGTTTATGATTTTAACTGCCTGCCCGGGGTTCTAGTTGCCTGGGTTAGGCAATTTGCAGAAATTGAGTCCTGAGCACCTATGCTGCAGCTCCCCAAGAGTCTTCCATTCTAATTCTAATCAACTTTCAGCTACCTATCTTAAGCAGAGTACCTTTTAGAGCAGGGTGATGGGGGAGCCTAGAGGTCACATGCAAGGCCTCCCATCTATGGAGGTTTAGTTGGAGAAAGCGGACAATGAGTTGATTCCTGTGCAGCAGTAGTCATGGACCTGGGGGCAAGAATCAGAGCACTGTGCTATCTCCCAGGGCCCCTAGAGTGTGACCCTGGGAGACAGATCTGTGAAATCCCTAAAGGGCAGCATGCCAGATTGATGAGATGATCTTGGGGGTACCTGCTAGTCTCCTTGGTTTCAGAGGGGTGTGGAGGGAGGGGGAAAGATAGGCTCAGATCTTCTCTGCCCTTGAGGCTGGTCAAACATGTTGTGGCTTTATAGAGAAGTGTCTTCTCCTTGTACCTTGTACAGATGATTCACTAACAGGGCCTGAGACTGTTGTATATCCTTCCATTTCAGCGACTCAAGTGTCCTCAGAACTAACCCAGGTAATCAGAACCAGGAGCAGGCAGTTAAAATCATAAATGCCCAGATGGGACCCAGTCGCCAGGTTAAGGAATAACAACAACCCATGAACCAAGATGAACATTCTACCAGTAAAATAGAACTGCCAGAAGAGAGAGATAACAACTTGAACCAAGAATCAAAAGCATACTTACAAAAATGGAAAAATAGCATGAAAATAACTTTCCAGCAATCGAAAATACAGTTTTTAAATTAAAAATATCAATTCAGCTAAGGAAAGGATGGTCTAGGATGAGACGGACTCATCTGTAATCTAAGGCATTATAAGGTAGATACCAAATGAGTAGTTTTGATTCTCAGATGGAATTGACCATTAGACTCACCTGTTAAAAATACAGGCTTATCAACTTATCCACCCCTAATACATCAGGAACTCTGGAAGTCGAGCCAATGAAATGGCATTTTTGTTTGAAGTGGCCACTGGTTTGGGGCACTGGTTATGGGGGCTGTGGAAACTGGCAGTAAATATTGAATGAGTTATCAGGGTGAGAGATCACCAGGTCTGCAGGGATGGCTGTAAGGACTGCAGGAGAGAGAGGAGAACTGAAACAGGCTGTGAGAGGTGGGGAGAGGTTATCGATAGTGACTTAAAAATATGAAACAAAGATTGTTTTGTCTGCATGATCCCAAGTTTTCACCAGATGTAGACACACACACTTGTCACAACTGTAGATGAAACAGCAAGTCTAAAATTTCTATAAGTTTAGCCTTTAATATGAAACACATCAGATAAATAAGAAGTTGAATTATTCCAATTTTGCAAATGTTTAGGAAGCTTGTGTTCATCTAGTTGACATTTCCTTCACTCTGTGTGTGCATGTTTGAGAACTGAAATACAAAAGTTAAACCTTTAGTCTTACGTTTTTAACCACTGACAATAATTATGGTCCATTTCTCTCCCAATGTTCTATTTCAAGAAAGATGGATCTGTTTGTCAAGGTCTGAGCAAACAGTAGGAATAAGTGGAGTGCTTGGAAGGCAAATCTGAAGTGGTGTGTTCAGTTTGATAAAAGCACTCTTACATATTTTTCTCCGAAGTTTCCTGAACCACTCCACTAAGGGAGACAACCTTGTACTTCTTGGCTTTCTTCTCTTCAAATGGCTACTTCTGAGTCACTGATGTAAAATAACAGGAATCAAAGGATTTGCGGATCAAGAAAAATGACTCCTGACCATTTCCGGTAGGTTATTTCCTTGGAACTGCTCCCCTCTGCCCCCGGAAGGCGTAATGGATTTGGACTAAATGTAATCAAAAATTTTCACTTGCATCCTTATTTCCTGAAAATAGCTCAGTTCCATGAAGCTGAACTTTCTGCAGCAGTGAGACCCATGGCATGTCTGCTTCCCCGGGGGAAATAAACTTGATGTTTCCCTGAGTCAGAGCCATAGAACAACAGTCTCGTGAAATGCTCTACGCCAAACCAAAAGCACTCTGCACTCAGAGGGCTGCCGGGCTCATGAGCATATCCAAGCTTCTGGGAGCCCTGCAGCAGAGAAATCATTTCACTCATAACTCTCTTTAACTTAGCCACTTGTATTCACTTTCAAGCACTGCCTTAACAAAGTACCAAAGGGGTGGTTTAGACAACAGAAACGTATTGTCTCACAGTTCTGGAGGCTAGAAGTTCAAAATCAAAGTATTGGCAGCCCTGTCCTAAGCCTCCCTCCTTGGCTTGTAGATGGCTGATTTCATGTTCACAGGATATTCTCTCCATATAGGTGTCTATCTCTGAATTCTACCTATAAAGACACCAGTCATAGTGGATTAGAGTCCAACTAAAGAATTCATTTTAATAACTTGACATCCTCTGTAAAGACCCTCTCTCCAAATAAAGTCACATTCTGAGGTTCTGAGGTTTAGAACTTACATCTGAACTTGAGGTAATTCAACTGATTTAACCACTGAACACTTTTTTTTCCCTGTCATCTATTAACAACCCGCAGAACACATTTAGAGAGATCTTACTGGGGCTTCACAGTCATCATGCTGTGCCTCAATGGTTCCCAAATGAGAAAC